GGGTTCCTCCGCCTCCTCCACTTTAAGAAGGGAGCGGGTCACCCTAAACAAGGCGGCCGGGTGAGATTCTGTGGACGCAATACGTGCGGAAAAGTGAACACGCTTTGCCGCTCTTATCGCCACTAAATAAGTCCTAAGATAGGCTCTTAATAGTGATCGGTCAGATTCAGAGTTACTGGCCCGCCAACGTCGCTGTAGACATCTCTTGTGGCGCTTCATCTCTCGGAGCTCCTCAGTAAACCAAGGCGCCCTCCGAGGACCACCACCACAGAGAGGTCGCAAAGGCGCAATTCGATCCAGGGCCCTGGATGCCGCCTCATTCCAGGCCGCAACCAGGGACCCGGACGAGTTGTGGACAAGGGAGTCAGGTATTTCCCCAAGCTCCTCCTGGAACCAATCTGGGTCCATTAGGCGCCTGGTGCGGAACCACCTAGTCGGTTCCCTTTCCCTGCAATGGGGGAGTGATGCTCTGAAGTCCAGCCTCAATAGGAAATGATCTGTCCATGACAAGGGCGAGATCTCTATTCCCCTTAATTCCAGATCATGTCTCCATTGCCCCGAGAGAAATACAAGGTCGAGCGTGTGACCACCCCTATGGGTCGGATCCTGAATTACCTGGGTCAGGTCCATGGTTGCCATGGAAGCCATGAACTCCTGCGCTGCCGCTGAGCGATCGCCGAGTGATGGTAGGTTAAAGTCCCCCAGTACTATAAGTCTGGGGAACTCCACCGCCAACCCGGCTACTGACTCCAGCAACGCAGGCAGGGCTGTTGCAACGCAGCTGGGAGGTAGGTACGTCAGCAGCAAGCCCAACTGAACCTGTGAACCCAACTTCAATAGGAGGGACTCACACCCAACAACCTCCGGGGCAGGAATCCCACGAGGACTCAAGGACTTCCGAGCGATGACTGCCACTCCCCCACCCCTGCCCTGATGTCGAGGCTGATGAAGCACCACAAACCCGTCCGGGCACATCTCCGAGAGGGAAACACCCCCCTCAGGGCCCAGCCAGGTTTCGGTTATACATGCCAGGTCCGCCCCGCTGTCCAATATTAAATCACGGACAAGGGGGGCTTTGCTGATAACGGACCTGGCATTAAGCAACAGCAGCCTACAATTAGGGCCCTGTACTCCCCTGTCACCAGTACTACAGGATGAGCCTTTTGAGGGGCCGGAACAAGGAATCGCTCTAACATAGCGAGTCCTCGTTCCCCAAAGATTAGGCTAGAAGACCTCCAAGATTCCCTTCCAACTATTCTGTTCTGTTCTGTTCTATTTTATTTTATTCTATTCAGATGGCTCACCAATCCATTTGTCTGGATAGTTTATTTATTATATACTAACATTGTCAAAGAATTGGGCCAGTAATTCTCTTTCAGACATTAGACAATTTTGTTCCAAATACTAAAGTTAATTTCTGTACTCTCATAATGAAATATTCAGATGCTGGGCAGCTGCACCGGGTAGTATTTAAAAAAAGAAATGAATAAAAGATTTGTCATGCAGTGAGTCAAGAAGGTAGGGCAAGTTTGGAGAAATAGAGCCCATTTTACTTTTGAATTATTAAATATGTTAATAACAAATTGTGGATATATATTCATGGCTATATATGTCTTGGTTAGTGGGGCCTAAGGAAAGATCTTCACACTGTAATTGTTTCCCAAGGTTTTCTCATGAAATTATGACCATGATGGCTTTTAGCACAACTCAAATGGCTGTACCTATTGAACAACTCTTATGCCTGACAAAAAGAGCGGACTGAAGCCAATCACCTCAACATTGGTTTTCTATCTCTTGTTTATGTTTTCTTTAAACTGCTGGCACTTTTTACTTTATTTTTCTAAAAAAAATGGTTTCATTCTGCAAACCTTGGATTCTTTTGAATTTATTAATATTCCCCTTTTGTGGATAGATGTTATCCTTTTGACTATGTGAAGAATAGAACTTAGAATGCAGCATGTACCAGTCTCATAAGTCAATGACAGACCATGTAATGCAACTCTCCTCTGAAATAAATCCTACAAAGTTTAATGTGATATTCTTGAGTTACCTTCTCTAGCCAGAACAATCCAATCCACTGAAACTTAACCTATCTAAATCACAGTACAATGATAATTTACTTGTCCTTAATTTACTGGTAATAGTTGTATATCTTTGATAGGAGGTGGGGAGTTTGAGGGGGGGGGGAAATATCTGAAAAGAGACAAGCAATATTAGATGATATAAGCCCATTATATAATTAATTATTGCTACCTTTATCAACCTTCAGAAGAGGTTTTTTTTTTTTAAAAAAAATCTTTGCTCCTTATAGTTCTATAAATTACTTATAGAGTGACATTTCTGCTGCCACTAACTTCAAATGAATGAAGTTAAGCTTTGACTTAGTTCAGGAAGTGGTTTGTTTCTACAGAGCTTGTGGTATGAGAAGATTACTTTCACTTGCATTTTTAAATAATTTTTTCCTTGATATTTTTTCTTTCCAGGGCATCCAGACTCAGCAAGGTTTCTGGGTTTCTTTCCCTCTCCCCCCAAAGTACACAATCCCCATGAGAAAGTTACATGCCATGTTTAAAATGTAAGGAATAGTTTTGAGTGAAAGAGACTGTTATTTTCCAAATATTACAAAGTTCCTGACAATCAGAAAAGCAAAGCTGAAATCTGCTATGTCATTCCACCTCTATGATCACAATGCCCATCAACTTATTCTCTTAAGTTGTTTCCTTATATGATGCAAATCTGCACAAAGGAGTCCTTCATGGTACATTGCACACAATAGCAGCCTTTTCAATGTCAGTCATTCAGCCCCACCATTTAAGGTGATTAAGGTCTATTACTGAATTTATGTTAAAATATAATGTCATCAGATTTACACGAGCATCTATTAAGAAGTAGAATCATGTCTTAACCTGTTTCCCACAGACAAAAGCAAATACGTTACTCAGTATTTATAATTATTAGACAATAGTACATCTAATCCAGCCAAGCAGAATTCAATGGGGGACAGTGATGCAGTTTTTTATTAATGTGAATGTATCGTGACTATTATTTGTATTTTTGCAAAGCTTTAGTAAAATATTATGAGGATTTAATCATTGTAAATCTTTGTTAGTTCATCTACTAACAACTGACTTGATTAGAAATATATTTTGAAAAAGTATGTTTAGGAATGTGAAAATTACTTATGTAGGGGGAAAAAGATGAGTGTATTTTTAAGAAAAAATACAAATTCAGTCTTTTTTGAGCATAACGGTTTTTCTAATTAACTTTTGTATATGGATCAGATGGTAGCTCAGTATAACCCAGTATTTTTTACTTTTATGAAACTCTGAATAACCATAGCCATTTAAAGGCTCAAAAACAGTTTTAGACTCCTATGAATCCAGTGTTGATGATATTCAAGAACTCAGCTGCCTCAACTATTATGTATTTGAAACTGCAATAAAATGTTTTTTTCTTTGAAACAGTACTACTGTAACATAACTTGTAAGCAACTTGCTCCTCTCACAGCTTATTAGGCTTTAGTTTCCTAACTAGTCTTTCTATGAAAGAGATGGCTTTGCAACTCCCCTTCAGATAAATCATTTTTTAAAATGTAAAAGTAGGCATGAAGGATGGCAACATTCAGTAAAGATATTTGGAATGGAGTGGTTATGAAATGTTTTTGTAATTTATTTTTCTTTTGTGGAGGGAAACTTATTACTTCACAACCTGTAGCAGCTGCAACAAAGTTGTAACTGAATGCTGTTTTCAGTTTTTAAAGGCTAACAGAACCAAAATAATTATGTATCATTTTCAAACTTCTTTTGAGGCATCCAGAAGTAGGTATACTGGCAGTTGGAAGCCTGTAAATTCTGTCTTGGGATGAAGAGTGTTGGAACTTTGTCATATGTCACATATGCACTCTCCAGTAGTCCAAGCATTCGAACTACCTAGTGAAAAAACTTGTAACAGGACTGTAATGGAGGCTAGTTTTGTTAATTACACTGCAAATGAAAATGCCACTGACCAGATTCTTTAATACCCATTATTGATAGCAGGTGTAATATTCCTTATACATAGGGTCTTCACTGATTAAAAGAGCACATAGAAGCATAGACATCCATTCTCCAAGCTGTGTTCTCTAGCTCTTCATAAATTGTACATTCAACACATCTGGAGGGCATCAGATGGTATAAGACCTAGTACTGCTGGATAATAGCCTCTAAAATCCTTCCAAAGGTGTTTCTGTAAATTCCCTTCTGCCTCTACCTGTAATTGGTTTTTCTCCTCATAAACAGCAGCTCCATCAAAGCCAAATGCTGAGTACTGTTCAAGGAGGCATTCAATGCTTTCTATTTCAGCAATATTACTTGTATTTTTTTTTTTAAATCAGCAGCAGTAGTTTGCAGAAAAGCAGACTTCAAAAACCAACATAGCAATTTAACTTGTTTTGCCTAGGGTTCATTTCAAGGAGTTCTTAGGCATAAGCAATTGCCACCAGATCATGGGCATTTTTTTTTCAAATACTGCATTTGCAGGACAGCTGCAATCCTATCAACTTAGCGAAAAAAGTTCAGTTAAAAAGTAAATGAATTCAGGCCTTGAGGTTCCTCTTGGTTCAAGTATTTACCAGCACGTGCTTAATTTTGCAGGATCCTTCCTTACGCCTGAACGGCTGTTTTGTTCAACGACAGCAATTCCAGCAAGCCGTTTCCTAGCAAAAGGCGTAGAAATCTTTGACTGGTATCCCAGGAGAAAAGCAAGCAGCTGTGCAGGGCAAGTCGCATCCAACAAGAGGCTCCATCTTAGAAGCAACCTTCCCTTTCGACCCTGCAAGCCCTCTCGGTTATCGAAAGAAACCTCCGCCTCTCCTGTCACTAATCGCCTATTGTCCCGCCCATCTGTAGCTCCCTTTAACCAATGAAAGGCCGTTTCTTTCCTTCTGCTCGGGACTGCAGAAGGTTTGCGGGGTGGGGTGGGGGGGGGCGTAATAGGCTCCGAGATTTGTATATATTTACTAGGCTGAGGCTCCTCTTCGACCAATAAGAACGAGCAGTACGATTCTCTCATTAGCATACACACCTCGCTGTTTTGCATATCGCTTCAGCAGGCGCCGGGATTTGGGCGAGTTAAGCGCACACGCAGTCCGCGTATTGTGTGCAACCCTAGAAGGCAAAGGAAAGCAAGCAAGCAAGCGGGCGGGCGGGCGACCGGGCAGTCCTGGTAAAGCGAAACGGCCGAGCCGAGAAAGAACTGGCGAGTGCGTGTGCCGGAATGGCTGAAGGGTTAACTTCCTAGGAGAAGTGCGCTTACCTACGGCGGCGTTGCAAAAGGAGCTCGAGAAGAACTGTAATGGCAGATTCCAACGGGGCACGTTTTTACCTGCTGCTGTGAGAGAGGACTGACGACAGTCTGCCGCCTTTCCGTGGGGTTGGAAAGAAGAGAGGAGAGGGGGCTGAAACGTCGGCTCTTCGCGCGGCGGGACGCCGCTGAGAGGAAGGGGAAGGGAACGAAGAGGAGGACGCTTGCTCCGACCGAGGGTTCGCCGAGAGGTGGGAAAGGAGGCAGCCAGCCAGCCAGCCAGCGGCGCCAGAAGAAGGACGCGGAGCAGCCCCAGGGCCCGGGCGGGGCGCGCGCGTACGGCACTTGGCCCCCTATCCCTGAAGGGACCGTCCCCGGCCGGGCGATGCGCGGCGGGGAGCTTTTGGCCACCGCCGCGGCGACAAGGAAGAAGAGTCTGCCGATGCGCCGCCTGGCTCTGCTCGGTTTCTTCGCCTGGGGCTTTGGCTGTTTGGCTGGGCCCAGCGAAGGAGCTTCCCTTTCTCCGTGCCCGGTTTCCTGTAGCTGCGATGGGGACGGAGGGGTTGACTGCTCCGGGAGAGGGCTCGCCGCCGTGCCCGATGGACTCAGCGCCTTCACCCATTTACTGTAAGTATGGAGGGGGTGGGGTAGGGGGTACGGGGTGTGTGTGTGTGGGGGGGTGCCACGCTCGTCTTCACCTTGCCAAACAGGTTGTGTGTGCTTCATAATCTGGCCTAAGTGAAGGAGAGAAAGGCGCCTCTCCTGCAGCTTCCAGCTCCTGGCTTGACTGCAGCCCTTACCTGTGGTGAGAAAAGCTCCCCGCCCGCGGGGAAAACGACCGCTTTGCACTCCCCCATTGATTTTGTTGCCATGAACTAACGCGATTGAAAGGCTCGTGTGTGTGTGTGTGTGGTGCGCATTCTGGGCTATTATTATCCGGCCAGATGAGTGAATTACTTCCAGTGATTTGGGAGTAAAATGTACCCGAGGTTGTCTTTTTTTGAGGTCAGGAGTGAACCTATCTTCCCTTGTTTTGGAGTAAATCTCTATCTGAACTTAATGGCTGAGTTTAGGAATTCTGTTAATTGCCTTGTTCGCTACTTTGTTGTTCAAAACGACAAGTAATGTTGGTCTTTTTGAAATCTAGGGAAAGTGAGACATCTGTTAAGAACTTTGACCGTAAAGAACTAAACCTGGTGATTGGCTAACATAGGATTCACGGGTGTAAAATTGCTATATATATTGTGCATAGCGTTTGTCATAGCCTTTTAGTCCTTAAACAACCTTACTTGCATTTCAAAATAAATATGCCTATGATTTTTTTTTAATCGGCAGAAGTTTTCTCACTGTTTTGCCACCTCTTAAATCTATGGATTTTCCATTTCTCTAGTTTTGGGCTTTTATAATGAATAAAAATGGGGAAGAAAGGGATGACCCTTGTGACATGGGGTCTATGCAAGAAGGTAATTTGAGCGAACAGAAACGTTGGTGGATCCCATTGGTGCTGTCCCAGGGTTGTTGGAGAGACTACTGTGAAGAAATACACTGTATAATATGCTGCCCACAATGGACCAAGTTCCTGCTTCACAGATGCTTTATAATCTTAGAAATTATCAATTTTTGTAATATTACATATCCCATTTTACATAAAATTTAGATACCACATTTTTGTATTTTTATATGTAATTACAATTATAGATACCACTTTATAACATAGATATAGATTGCTTCTTTTGGATTTCACTCATGGATTTTAGGCAGGTTGTTTTATAATTTTGTTTTGCCTTTTTTATTTACTGTCTCAAAATAGATTTATAAGTACTCACAAGGTACTGATAGACACATTGCTTGTACTGGTCTAAGACTGTAATAAACTGCCTGCCTACAGTATAAAACAAGTTGAAAATAGTTTACCTGGTAGCTTGGATGAATAATATATTTGGCTGAATATACCAATGCATTCCAGTCCACAAAAAGACTTAACTTCATTATGGTATATGTAAGCGCATACACACACACACACACACAGAGAGGGAGAGAGAGAGAGAGAGAGAGAAACAATTGATGCCTTTCTATTTGTGCAGAAATGCAGGTGTCAAATCACTTAATCCAGGCAATATTACTTAGGTTTAGTTTGAAAGCAAATTCAGCAAAATGAAGGAACCAATACAATTAACTCCAGCTTTTCTATTCAACAAAACCATTATAAAGATAAACTACCACAGAATACAATATTAGGTGTGTACTGCATCTAGGATTTCAAGGGTGTGGTATTGCAAGGTGTGTAGGTGGCTTTTTAATCATTCTTAATGCTGAATCAGCAGGCCATAAAGGTCTCAAGAATTTCCTAAAAATTGCTTTTGTTTTAGTATTAGTTATTAGAGCTTACTTGAGAAACTATAGTTTTAAAGTCAGGTGTGAAATATTCAGGGACTAATGAAGCAAAAATCTTGTTTAGTTGTCTTGCAAGACAGATGAAATATTGTAGAATATTTCAGCTGAAACCTTTGAGACAGGACAGGCAGTGAGAAACTATTTTCAAAATAATTATAAGCAGTGAGTTGTTGCATAAAGGTCAAAAAGGTAGAAGAATTAAAATCAGCCCGAGATATGAAGCCTAAATGAAGTTTATTAGAATAACATAAAATCAAGATTATGAATGTGAGAGTTCAAACTTGCTTGAGATAAATGTGTGGCTCTTAATTGAGAATATGATATGTTTTATATTTGTAGAGAAGAGGCAGGTGTATAGGTTGAGATGTCTGCTTCCAATGATACAATTTTAATTTTGTAATTAGCAATTTATTTGCAGTCTTGGAATAAAACATCTATTTTTGAGCATATAACCAAATGCTTAAATAACATTATTCAAGAAGTGTAAACAATTCCCAAAGCTACAGCAACAAAAAATAAAAGTGGCATAATTTAAAAAGATTATCTATTTGAAATTCATAGTTTTTTTTTTTTAAAAAAAAACCCTTTGAATATTACAGCTGAAAAGACCCACTGTATGGCTCCTGGAAGGGAGTTTCTTAAGGGACCAGCCACTGTTGAACACGTTTTATCCCTAGGACCTACTGTTTTTAGTACCAATCCTAATACAGGAACTTTTATATATGTGTGCATGTGCAATCCAGCCCACATCTAATTTTATACAGGATCACATAATAGTAGCATCATTAATCCCATTCACTCAGGATTTTAAACGGGTGGTATTAAAAACTCACCACTGTTAATTAAAGTTTCCCACAAATCTTTTATAACAAGGCCTATTGGGTGTGCTCTATTTTCTAGGCAGATTTTAAAATTATAAACTGATACCGAGATGCAGTCACTTATTACTAAAGTAACTTTGGCTTTTTAGAATAAAATATATTCCTATATAAAACAAATATAAGCACATCATGTGAACTTTGTAATGAATAGAGTATGCTTGGTAAAACTTTGGTTTAAGTGGTTATTTTTCTTGTTGGTAATTAGATGATTTTCCTCTAAATTGGGACTATCGGGAGTATTTGCATATTTGGGTCGTAGCCTATTGTGAGTTTTGGATCCAAACATTTTCTGGTCGCCACATTAGGGAAAGCTTTTATTTTATACTGGAGAAGACTGTAAATCACGGCAACAACTTACTGATTTTATAAACTATTTCTTGTTTTTTAGTTGAAGCATAAAATATAGGTAAATAACTCCATTACTCAGTGGCACCAAAGAATGAGAAGAGCAAACATTTCATTAAAGAGATTTGGTTGTTAAAAGTTTTAATATTTTTTTTTACATATAATGAAATTTAAGTAGTTTTTTGTTCTTGTTAGTACATTAAACTGGAGGTTTCATGCTATGTATTAATAGTATTTTCTCTATGACTTGTTTCTGTACATGGCAACAATTGTATACAGTGCAGATTTTTTAGCAAGATTATATGCAGGAGGTATTTTTCCTCCAAACATGTATAGCAGTGAGGTATAAGTATAGGAGCATGTAGCTTTGTGGTAGTATGCTTAAACTTGTCTTGATGTGTTCATTCTTAGTATAATGGCTATAGTGGCTATATAGTTGAGTTAGTTTGAGAATTAAAATCACATATTTAAAAGGAAAGTAAGTATATTTTTCCCCGGTATCAGTTGCTTAAAAAGAATGAAATATTTTTGATTTTGTACATTCGTTGTTAGAAATAGCATACAAATATTGAAAGGAAAGCATTGCTATTTGTTGTATATTTTCAATAAACTACCGGTCTACTTAACTTCAACTGAGATGTTATAAATGAAATCTGTCAAAACATGATTTGATGATTGAGGACATACTGAACTTGTTCTCCCTATGTCGTATACTCCCCTGGGTTTTCTATTGTTGTTGTTGTTTTTTGTACTTAATAGCCAACAGTGATTGGTGGTATTTCCAAACCATAGTTTACAGTGGATTTATAAACCATGATTTGAAAAGACCACTAGGCAGTTTACTATTCTGGAAGTTGTGGCAAGCGGTATTTAGAGAAAACCAAGGCATATGAGAGAAAACTATTATGGAGAGGGAAAATGTAAGAGCTTGCAGAACATTCAAACTTCAAATTAAGGTTTAGCAATTTGATCTCCTCCAGATGTTTTCAAGTACTGTCTCCATCAATCCCAACTAGCACGTCCAGTGTTTTGAGGCTTGAAGTCTAAATCATCAAGAAAAACACATAAAATTCCAATGCCAGCCTAGCATATGTTCTATTTTTGTCTAACATGTTTACTAGGCTTTGAATATGTTCAGTATATTCTAAAGGACCAAGAAACATATATATTGGGAGTATAAATTAGAATATATAGTAGGAAGATTATTGACCACATTGATACTGTTAAACATAATGTAAGATTTGCAAACAGGTAGAAACTAATGCTGGTCTTCCAATGAGTGGGAGCCACAGGGAGAGATTATCCTCAAGTACCAAATGAAATTAACTCTAGAGGACAAGAGAATTATCTCATACTGCTTTTGCTGATAGGAACAATTATGTCTCCATGAGATCAAAACTGGGTTCAGTCCACTATCTTATATAGTATACAATTTTACTAGCTGTTTTCCTCACAGATATTTATGCTAATCATTTATATCTCATTGACCTGCTATAATAGCAGTAGAGAACTTTCTCTCCTGCTTTATAAAAGGCTTCCTAACTTGTAGGTAAATAACTCTTTATGGGTCTGATTTATATATTTTTTTATTCCATTGAAAGTTCAGGTACAGATAGTCCTCAACGTACAACCATAATAGAGTCCAAAATTTTCACTGCTATGTTGTTAAGTGAGTTTTGCTCCATTTTATAGCCTTTCTTGCCACCATTGTTAAGTGAACAACTGCAGTTAAGTTAGTAACATGGTTGTTAAGTGAATCGGCTTCCCCCTTGACTTTTCTTGTCAGAAAGTTACAAAAGGTGATCACATGACCTGGGACACTGCAACCAACTCCATGCCAGTTGCTATTGTCCACATTTTAATCACATAATCATAGGTATGCTGCGATGGTCGCAAGTGTGAAAAACGATCATACTTTTTTCAATGCTGTTGCAAGTTTGAATGATCACTAAACAAATGGTTGTAAGTCGAGGGTTACCTGTATTTTAGCATAGTAAATAATGATAG